CGGAAGAAGAAAAGCAATAAAGAAAAACCTCCACAACTCCGCTCAGAGAATCGTTCCGCAAATTTTAAAGATAGTCTTGTGTTCATCGTGGCAAGGTGAGTACAATGATGTACATTTCGTTGCAAATGGCCGGGCTGACGTGTTGGCCTTTCCTGGTCAGCTTGTGCAAACACAAAAAGATTAAATGGTCCGTAACTCCCTTCAGAGAATCGTTCCGCAAAATCGGAGGGCAGATTCGGATTCAGCGGCTCAAGACACGTCCATACGTATACATCTCATTGTAAATGGCGATCGACCTGTTGGGTCCTTTTAGCCGCTTCGGAAATTGACCAGCTCTCCTTCGTATGCTCTCGTTATGTTAGTTGACCTGGTATGTATTGCTGTGCCTTTCGAGGTTTGTGCGCGGAAGCGTTCAACTGTCGGCCTAACGTTTTGATAGAATCATCTTCAGAGGCCCAGTAGTAATTCAGGCAGTGAGTTACCACACCCACTTTAGAATCAGAATTGACCTTGGCTGTCGGCAGTGCGGTATAATATTCCTGAACTCAAATCGCTTCTAGCCCCTCAAATGAAACTATTTGATGGAATCGCTTTAAAGACGTAATGAGGCGATTCAATTTGGTTTAATAGCAAGAATTCTGTGACCTTTAGAAGCTTGCGATGCCCAAACGTATTTCACGCTTAACCTCAGTTTCATTCTCGATCAAGTTGATATTGAAAACGAGAATCAAAGTATCTCGTCCCCCTCCTCTATCCAACAAATGTGATCGTTCTTGGAAAGGTGAACTAACTGGTGGCCTGGCGTGGCTAATACAAATTCACCCTCGAGCCGCCGCAGTGTGAGCAGCCCTACCCACGTCCGGCCACACTCTGATATTACGCGTCAATATGGATACCTTTCCTACCTCAAAACCTCAAAGTTCCTTCAAAGGAATTTCCTGCATGATTTTTCAAGCAGTGGACAAACATGATTCCTAAGGCATGGTAACAAGAGGGGACTGAAACCCTTTCACTCACTGTAATAGAATGATAATGTGAACATTTTCAAATCGTCAGCAGCGACGGTGTCAGAGAGAACACACATTCATTTTTCATCGAAGAAAATTAACCATCCCATCAGAAGTGGTCATCCACATTGATAGTTGAATATGAATAATGCCTAAAGGGTCCAGAAGATATTAGAATGATTCCCTTCTAACAAGAAATATCTTCGAAATCGAATGAGCGCAGAAGATCTATGTACAAACAGATACTGCAGGGAGGTGACAGCTGCAATTCGTGTCAAATCTTGTCGGCTGCCGAACAACTAGGAAGAATTAATCTTTTTCAAAAGGGAGTGACTCGCGAAACAGAGCAGCACTGCATAACTGTATGAAGCCACGAGAAGAGGTCTGGGTCTCAGATTTTCTCGATCCGCGTGCTCTAGAGTGGCTTGAGACTGCAGAAGTCTCGGTCGTCCTGAATATTGAGGTTTTAATTCGAGTTTCCGGTCGTTGCTGGAGGAAAAAGAACAGGAAGTCTTGATCGTGTTTGACACAGAAATAGGAAGTTCGTAAATAAACACACATAGATATTAGAATGGTTCATTTTAATCGAAAAAATCCTTTGAGTCAATTAGTCCAGAAGTTTTTATGTGAAATCAAACCAGGCACTCAGAAAGCTGCAACTGAGTTAATCTGTTACAGAACAACCAATTGTGAGATTAGTGCAGCACTGCATAACTGTAGAGAAGCCAAGTAGAGAAGTACTCTTCAGTTCCGAATTTCATGTTTTTGTGGTGCTCCAACATGACAGCGATTGCGGAACGTTCAGTCTGCCCTATACTTTTGTCTTGGCTTTCTAGGTGGTACATAGAAATGTCTACCCAAGTCCGCATCTGAAGCGTGACACAAAAACACATAAGCAGATTGAAAAAGTGGAAAATTTATATTCGATAATGCACTAGGAAGACTCGATTACACCTTCCTTTGATGTGAGGGGCTTACGAGAGAATTCTGAGGCAGCGTTCATACTTCGCGACAGCAGAGGCGATCGCCCGATCGTCGATCGTCGTCAGAGCGCGCCCCAACGCTATTACTTGGACCGCTCGCTTTGATAAATAGGGAAATCCAACCTGTATCACTCTTTTTTTCTTATGGCTACTAGCTTGAAAGTGAGAACTTTCTCTATGTAAAAGGATGAATATTGAAGGAGGAGATGGTTTCATCTTTTATTTGGGTCGAAATAAGTGGAACTCGTTAGGTCAGCTTCTCTTTGTTTCTTTTGTTTTCATTGTTTCATGTGTCTTGAAACTTTCCTAATTCCCAAAACAGAAAGGAACTTATCTAGGAGCCAAAACACTAACTCTTTCATGCCACTCATCTTCATTTCATGGTGAGGAAATGTGCAACATGGAGGGGTTCATGTATAAGCTCGCGGAATGAAAAAAGAAACAATAGAAAACTCACATCAAATGGAGCCTCCTTGCTTCTTGCTTATTTCTATCCTGAATCAAAAAAGAAAATAGAAAAGAAAGCCCATTCAGTTTCATCCCCTCGTGAGTCAAAACGAACTCTAGTAACCGAGTCAATTACAGTTAAAAGAAAAAAGCGATAAATTAAGCCAGTAAACGATAGCGTCAAGGCACGCTCCGACGCGCACCGACGCTCGCGGCGATCGCTACTGTTGTCGCAATATGAACGCTGCCTAATTTTGAATGAACGAAGAGACATGCAGTGTGTGCAATGTGAGCACCTAGTGGGATAGCTTCTCGAAAAAAAATTAGCGAGTTTCAGGCATGAATTCAGAGCCCAGATAAAACAGTTAAACCATTTAACTGCTTTTCTATGACCTGCGTACAACACTCTGGGTAAGCTTTAGTGCAAAATTGTGAGTGCTGTGCAAATCCTCCAATCCTAGGAACCGTGTGTGAAGTCATACTTATTTTGAGTAAATGTAAAAAGTAAGAAAGAAGAGAAAAGAGGGGGAAAGAAGTACATTTCTGAGTACTGACATTTCGAAAAACTTAAAGAGATGAAAGCTCTTCCAGTCTAAAAGACCAGGTACGCTCCAATATACAATTGAGGTGTGTATGAGACTATCAGCTCCCCTGCTGCCGATCTTCGTGTCCCCACCCCCCCCAAAACGCGACGGGTCACAGACGTTGTACAGTATGGAAAGCGCGAAGTCTTTGCTTCACCGTCCGCTCAACGTTTATGCAAACACCGTCCGCGGCGCGCGTTCGCGGCAGCTGCAATTGTTTTTTCCGAAATCTGTGAATTAAATATAGCCTTTGATTTTTATTTTTTTTAGTTTTTTTTTTTTTTTTTTTTTATGTATCTTGTTGTTTTTTTTCTTATATTTTTTTTTTTTTTATGGTTTAGTTTTTTTTCTTTTGTTTTTTGTCGACCATTGGAAGACAAGTAAAACGCATATTCTTATGTAGATAACCATCTTTAGGTGCGTGCAAAATAAGGACGCGCAGGATGAATGACGCAGGGCTAGAACCAAGAGCAGCAAACTGTGCTGGCTACTGGCAACTTCCTCGGAGGACCGGCGCATTTCCACGAAAACATAAGAGATAAAAACGACGACCACATGCACAATAATACGACGAAACTACGCAATTCCTAACATTAAGTATGTGCCATGGCTCAAAGTCCGAAATCAGAGGTGAGAAGATGATAAAGCCTTAGAAATGAGAAAACGAATAATGTAAATAAATAACAAAATTGAAAAAACTAAGGAAACGCAAATTAATTAAAATCGCGTGTGTCATTTCTGCGATCCGGCTCGAATCCGGCTCCAAAGCCATAGAAATACTTTAACGACGCTAGGCCTTTTGGTTTTCATGTTAGTGGAAATGGAGCGTCATCCGAGGGATATTGGCAAACCACGAGCAGTTGCCTCCTCGAGTTCTAGCCCTCGTCCATCACTCTTTCGGCCTTAATTTACAGCACTGGAAAAATTAAATTTTTTATCCGAATCTGCGTTTAACTTGTACTTAAACTAAATGCGCAAAAATCAGGACTATTGGCAAAAGGCCAAGATAGCTTGCAGCGACGACAACGCTCCGCGCGGCTACAGATGTCACAATAAACGGAGTTGCGAAATAGTGCGGTAGCAAGCAAATTACGACTACTCTCCACGGCCCTACTCTGACCCCGTGCAGTTTTGGGCGGGGGACCACGACACATCGACAGCTGGGGGCTGATAGTCTCATACACCCTCAATGTGTTTGAGCGTACCATGTGTCTAAACCCAAACCTCCTTTTTGCGCATAGGAATGAAATTACCACGTCCAAACCCCCTACCCCCTCGTAGGTTCATGATAATTCCTATCTCCCAGCCCTAAATATCATTGAAAATCAAAAATTTTAGAAGTGTTTTGCAACTGAAACTGTGGCTAGTTCGTCGTTCACAGGAGAAGAGGAACTGATAAGTGCTCGACATGTTGACAGAAACTTACAAAATGCTCCTCCACCCCTCCACCCCTTCCTGAATGGATTAAATTCAACAGAATCCTAACATATAATTTGTCCGTGAAGCCGTAGCGCAGATACCAAGGTCCCGCACATACTCAACGGTGGTGCACAACCAGAACTGAGACAAGTAGCGAGTTCAAACCCTGTTGTGACGTGGACGAACAGGCTGAAGCTGGTTCTCTTGACAGCTCAACATATTGAAGGAATCATCGACCAGGAATTTACAACCCTTCCCGCACTCCTGAAATAAACAGCGCTGGATGTTGTTCCCATAGTTACACGCTGCCGTATTAAAGATGTTGATGTGTTTGAAAATTGCTGAGCATAAAAGCGTTGGCAAAACCGCAGAATCACAATCTCTGTGAAATATGTCTGCATCTACAATTACCTTCTACCTGGTGGGTGAAGCCTTAATTTTTAAAACCATTCAATCAAAGAATCAAGAAATTTCTATAGACGCTTCTCACAACACAATGGAGGTATTCGACGACATATCTCAAAGTTTTAAGATTCGTCGCGGAAAATGTCTTTTAAGCAATGTGCTCGGACGACGGTGGAATGTCGGATGAAGTCAGGCAAACCTTTGGGTCTTTGGGTCTATCGGTTTGTCTTCGTCGCTCAAGCGCTAGCAGAATTGAGGTTCAAAACAGCAGAATCTTTTCTAGGTCGCTCGTTGCTGAAGGACAAGCCAAGAATAAATTCTTTGGTTACGCTCCCAAGGCAGCTAGGATGCTCAAGATGGTACGAGTTCAAAGACCCAGCTTGTTCAGTCACGTAAGGAAGGTAGCTGCGGCAGCGTTCATACTTCGCGACAGCAGTGGCGATCGCCGCAATCCTCGGTACGGGTCAGAGAGCGCCCCACACTTGGACTGCTCCGAGTGCTACTAGGAGGAATTGGCTTGATTTCCTGCTTTTTTCCTTTTAATTGCAATTGACTCAGGTACTAGAGTTCGTTTTGACTCAAGGAAAGGTGGATGAATTTAATGGCTTTTCTTTTCTATTTTCTTTTTGATTCAGGATAGAAATGAGCAAAAAGCAAGGGGCTTCATTTAGGGTAAGTTTCTTATTGTTTCTTTTTTCATTCTTCGAGCTTATACATGAACTTATGAAGTTTCCTCCTCCTCGATGTTGCATAAAAAAATGGTTTTGATTCCTAGGTAAACCCTGTCTGTTTTTTTTCTTTGTTTGAACTCGACTTGTAAACCATTGTTTGAAGTTGAACAGTTTGGCCAGTAGGAAAGTTTCAAGACACTTATATAAATTGAAACAATGAAAACAAAAGAAACAAAGAGAAGCTCACCTATTAAATGAAGTTGCACTTATCCCGGCCTAAATAAAAGGTGAAACCATCTCCTCCCTTATATTCCAGATCCTCTTAGGTAGAGAAAGTCCTCAGTTTCCAGCTAGTAGCCATTATTAAGAGAAAAAGGTATTACAAGTTGGATTTCCTTATTTATCAAAGCGAGCGGTCCAAGTAATAGCATTGGCGCGCGCTCTGACGCGTTTTGAGCCATTCCATCATGTTTCTCTCATTGAACAGTCACAGGTCTGCAGCATAAGATAGTTATAATACTGGAACTTATTGAGAACCTCTAAGCGCGATTACAGCGCGATCGCGGCGATCGCCACTGCTCTCGCGAAGTATGAATGTTGCCCATGAGCCCTGCACTACATTACGCTGTAATCGCACTTAGAGATTCCCAATAAGTTCTAGTATTACGACTATCTTATGTTGCAGACCTGTGATTGTTCACTTGAGAGAAACATGATATAATAGCTCAAAAAATTGCGAATTTGAGCAGAGTTTAAGTCCAGGGGACTTAGGCTAGCAGGGGGATACTGTAACTTGATCGTTCGATGACCGTGAGTAATGTTTTGGTTTCAGCGAGCGCGAGGCGAGCCGAGGGACGACGGGCAGAACGGCTGGAGGAGCGACTGGCGGACGGCAGGACACCCGGCGGCAGCTACAGTACCACGACCGACTCACCGGAGGACTTCCACCAGGACACAGTATTCAGTCGGCTGTCAATAAAGCTGCTCGCTATACGGTGTATTCGATCCACACTCACACACTTACTGGTAGCAGCGAGTGGAGCAGCAGACGCCGACCAGCGACGGACCGGTGAGTTTTTATTCCTTTTACTTTGCCGCGCAGCTGGGCAGCTGCCCCGCAGTGGGCATTACCAAATCTGATCAATTTGTTGATTCCACTGCGGCTACCTTTCCTCCTTCTCGAGCTTCATTTTCGACCTTGTTTTTTTTCCTTTTGCGATTTTCTTTGTTTTGACGTCGTCTTACCACCTATGTTTGAGCTGCATCGCGGCCCAGTAGTGTTTTGGTGGTTCAGGTGGTAGTAATCCGCACACAGTCTAACTTTACCAATCTTGATCTACACAATAATGTAGGACGTTACAGTACAACATTTGGACTACACAAGAAAACATGTAATATAAGCCTTGCTGCGTGAGCCATCCGTGGTAGTGTGGCATTGTCCTTCACACGTAGTATTGGGCGTCTAATTTCCGCCGGGGGTCCGCCAGCCTGTAGTATTTCCTCGACTAGTGAGGTTAACTGAAAGTAGTATATGTAAGTGTATTGTCTATTATACATTATATGTTTATATATATAGAAGTTGTTTGTGTGTATGTGCGTCTGTCTGACCACGAAAAAACTGAAGACTACATGGTACTGCTTCTGTAGTACGGATTCCAACTGGGATTGCTATAAGGCATGAGCCAATTTCAGGAAGCTCAAGCAAGGTAACCTAAGCTATGCCCTCAATAGGCGGGGCGTGTACCGAAGCGAACTATGTCGAGGATGAGCATTTTCAAAACCGCATCCAAAGCAACCTGAGGCTGGGAGATATCAGCGATGTCAAACAACGGGCTGCCGATTGAAGTAGGGAGAGACACGCGGAAGGGTCAGTGAGGTGCGCATGGAGGGTGGTCTCCCCCGCAAAATGTTCAGACCGCGGTCCAGAGGCGAGTGTCTGAGTATTTCGAAGCCAAAATTTGAGAAAAATTGTAGTACGCTCGTACTTCCAAAAATATCGGGGTGTAAGGTGAAAACGGGCAATGATGGCCGCATGTGACGTTAGTGATCGGATAACCGTATGGACTATACCAAATGGTTGGTATATTATTCGCCGTTTATTCTACGCTTAATCATCAATGACGGGAGTGCCGTATAGAAAATTTTGACAGCTGTCTACTAGGGGGATGGGGTATACGTACACAGGAGTGGAAACGCTAAAGTTGCGGGTGTGATTCTCAACAGTATTTTTTCGACCATTAAGCACCCTCCGAAAACTGCTCACCAAGACCCACTCACACACAAAGAGATCGCCCGGCGAAGCCGGCCGATCCGACTGGTTATGTTATATATTTAAGTATATATTAGCTAGTTGGGGAGAAAGCGAGAGAGAGAGAGGAGAAGCTGAGAGTAACCCGCAAGCCACTGGAAACGAGTGTTGATGTCCCCCGCCCATCCTGGCTGCGGTATTCATGCAGTCAAAAGGAGCGGTTCCGCCCAAACCGATTTAGGGCGGTACAAGTCCCGCCTTCTGAGCAGACTGCTTGAGTCATACTACGTTTGTGAAGTGCTGGTACCAAAATGCTAGGGTGCCTCATCAATATCATGACCGAGGGTCATGGCACTCCGCACGACGACACCGTATAGCGAGCAGCAGAGGTAAGACGACGTCAAAACAAGGAAAATCTCAGAAGGCAACACGAAAAAAAGTTCGAAAACGAAGCTCGGAAGAAGGAAAGGTTGCCGCAATGGAATCAACAAACTTGGCCAGATTTGGTAATGCCCACTGCGGGGCAGCGGCCCAGCTGCGCGTCAAAGTATTATTCTGTTTTCGCGAAAGCTCCTCAGGATTTTGTGCACCTATTTTTTGTACATTCACTGCTGATTAAAAACATTCTGCCTTGCTTCTCAGTAGCACATCCTGTAGAGAATTTCTTGCGCTATCTGATGGTATAATTGCCGTTTCACCATTGCTTGATAAACCCTCTTTTTTCAAGATTTTTTCAAGCATGTGAAAAGAGCACTTCGGACGATTTTTTTTCTTCGACTATAAATTGGGGCAATCCGCAATCGAAACAGCTCAACAAATTAACCAGGTGTGGGGGCCCAATAGTGCTAGAGAAAGCACTGTGCGGCAATGGCTCAACAAATTTCGTTCTGGAGATTTCAGCCTTGAAGGTGAACCTCATAGCGGTCGACCTAAAGCAATATCTGACGAAGATCTTTAGGGGGATATTTGGTAGGGCTTGTTTCCATCCCTAAACAGATTCGAGAGATGCTAGGAGCTATGTCCCAAGAAGATCTAGCGTCTGCAAAATCTACTGTTTGCAGATAGTCTGAATGACGATTGGGAAGCTGTAAAAAACTCGACAATTTGGGTCGCCCCAAACAATCGACGGGTGGCCGGCAGAATCCGGCACAGGTCTCGTGTTCCTTCTGCATTGCATTTTGCCGCCAGCAAGAAACGGCCTGTTCTGGCCGAATAATCACCTGTGATGAAAAGACGTCATGATAGTGATAGCAGGAGACGTTCCGCGGGACAGTGGTTGGATTTTCGACGAACCACCGAGGTAATTTTTAAGCCGAACCCTCACGAAAAAGATTCTGGTCACGGCTTGGTGGTCATCGGCTGGTGTGATCCACTATAACTTTTTATCACCAGGCCAAACCATCACAGCAGAACCCTACTGTGAAGAAATCGACGAATTGTACCGAAAATTTTGTCAGATGCAGCCAACACTTATCAAAAGAAAGGGTCCGATTCTTTTGCATGACAACGCCCACCCACATACAGTTGTCGTGATGCAAATCACTATCCATAAATTGAACGAATTGGGGGTTGAAGTTCTACCTCAACCGCCATATTCTTCAGACCTTTCGCCAACCGACTATCACCTTTTCTAACATTTTCAGAACTCCCTTGCTGGAAAATACTTCATCAATCAGGACCAGGCAAAAAAGCCTTAGTGAATTTCGTGAATTTTCGACCACCCAGTTTTTTTTACTTTGATGGATTTCTCGACTGCTGTCACATTGGCAAAAGTGTGCTGATTCGAATGGTGCCTATTTCGATTAAATCCGATGAGTATTAAAAAAGTTACGATCGTTTAAAGTGAAACACCCAAAACGCTGAGAACTTTCCGGACAACCTAATAAAAAGGATAAAAGACTCACTGGTCCATCGGTCGTCGGCGTCTGCTGCTCCACTCGCTGCTACCAGTAAGTGTGTGAGTGTGGATCGAGTACACCGTATAGCGAGCAGCCCTAACCATAATAACCCTGTCCACGTATATTGCCTTTGACATCCTCCCCGCCAGCGAAAAAGAAATAAGTAGTATCAGCTTGTAGTGTAGATTCAAGGAAACGTGCGAACAGGCAAGGCGCATGGGAAATACAACATACAGTAGAGGGAACACATAAATAGGAAGAGGGTAACCAAGGAACAGTACTGGAGACATATACAGAAAAAAAAGAAAATTGTATGAAATTGCTCAAACAATCGGTACAACGACGATGATAATGTGATTGTTGCTTGCGGCTGTGGTGTAGTGGCGATGTTCCGGGGTGACAAGTATGCGATTGGTTGTGGAAGTCGATATCGGTGTGACCAAGTTGTCCAGACGAGTCGAGCGTCCATAGATTGGTGGAGGCGTCTGCTGTTTGTAGAGAGTGTTTCATATTGTTAATGTAACGGTAGAATTACTGTATCAGTGTAGAATGTGTTTGCACAGGATACGAAAGGGAATGCGTATCAAGGTGATGGTAATGGAGAAGATGCGTCGAATGATATGAAGAAGGAGAAATATTATGCGGAATGGTGGTATATATGACAGTAGTTGAGGGATTGAGGTTAATTTGGCCTTATGGTGCTTGGAATCTTGTGAACAGAAGATATTGTTGCTCATCATGAGGGCACTGAATGAGGATAAGTAGTGTCGTCAAACTGTAAATAAAGAATTGCTTGCAGGTATCGAGGAAGTGTGATATGTCTGGAAATGCGAATTCAATATTAAGGGAAGCATCGGTAGAAGTATTTCGTGTCCAAGAGTGGATGTAGTTCCATAGCGGTTTGAATCCGTTTACGTAATTGAGTGTTCCTCTTAGCTCGAAAATTGTAATGTATTTTCCGCATTGCGCTCTACATGTTTCCTGGATGCGAGCCTTATTGAAGAATAAAAGTATATTGATTATGGGTTCCTTGTTTTGTACACGTCAAAGTGAATTGTTGAAGGCCACAGGTAATTTGAGCAGTGGCCTGTGCTACGTCCGTTTCACAGATTAGGGTTGCTACCGAGCCCTTTACGCAGTTATAACAGCCGAATAGTTGGTTGTAGGCAGTATGCGGCATTGAAAGTTCTTGAAGTTCCTGTGTGATTTCTTGTAGGGTGTGGCCGAATGTAATTGTACTGATACCGCTCGTGTAGAAATTGTAGGTACACTGTTTATGCCTTGTACGGATACTAATCCTTCCTGTATTGGTAGAGGAAAGGTGTTCTGTAATTGTGCTAGTCGTGAGACATTGTTATTGGTACAATAGCAGCTAACGGAGTCTTCCGCAGGGTTGCAGTTACATGTGTCTTTCATTATACAGTTGGTGTGGTTATGGATGTCTCGGTATGACGTGGGTCTGAACTGCATGCATAGCTGAATTCCGTGTCTTGTGGGATATAGGCTGTTAACTTGTTATTAGTGAAAAATCGTTGATTGAGTAGTGAGATTGGCGTGAATGAGAATGAGGTGACTTCAATTGAGACGTTGTTGATTTGTTTGGTGGTGTAAGGTTTCAATTCAAAGGTATATGATCGGTGTTTCGGATCATGAAGTTCCACCTGAAGTGATATGGTCTCGAACCATGAAGGGCATTGGAAGACTTCGTAAATGTTATCGTCTACTGGGACATGGTAGATTCTATAAAAGAGACATCCTGATGAC